ATGAGACATATGTGGTTAATATCGACTGAAGGAATGATGTAAACATATTTCAACTTGTCTGTTTGTGAAAAAATTCAAAATGAGTTTGTTATCAGTATTATTTATGATGATAGTATCAAAACTCCTAATATGTTTCCAAAAGTTGCGAATTACTTTTAAAAAAAAATTGAAATGAAAGCTTTTAGAAGAATACATATAGATAAGTTACATCCATTATGTGGATAGGTAGCATCTATTATATGTTTCGGTAGTTGCAAGATCTTTAGACATGGACTAAAGATCGATTTAGACCTTCAAAAGGTAATGAATAAACACTTAGTCCAGAAGTATCATATCTTAGTGTCAGTAAAGCATTTATATATCTATCTAGCCATACAAAATCTGAGCTATCATTTGCTGATTAGTATGATATGGTTCTTTATCAATATGAAGATGTTGGAATGAAGGTAAAAATATTCTTCGTTACTTTAAAGATACCGTGAAGGTAATATTATTTTATCTGAAGATACCTAAGACTAATCTTAATGGCTATATAGATAAAGTATTTTTGTTTAATCCTCATGTCAATAGATCATAGTATGATCTACGTGTGAGTAAACCATAAAAGAACTATTCGTCTCATGATTTTTCAAAAGATTATGAAATTCATATTTAACGTTTTTATCTCATTACAATATTTGGAAGGGTTGTTCGCTATATTAGATTTTACAGGCTTGAAGATGTCAATTGATGTCAAAAGAGGGAGTTGATACACGCTGTACTTTTTTTTCCTTGTTATGGTTTTGTTCCACTGAGTTTTTCTAGCAAGGTTTTTAATGAGGCAGTATTGCATGGTGTATCAATGAATGATGTACTTTTTTTCTTTCGCTAGGTTTTTATCCCATAGGGTTTTTTCTAGTTGAAGTTTTTTAATGAAGCACATTCATATATATTGGAGATCCAAGAGAGAGTGTTATGAATATAATAATATCTTTACGGATATCCATATATCTCCTATTATCTCTTATACTCTTCAATATCTCCCATTATCTCTATATCCCACAATTATCTCATATTATTATGTAATCTGTAGATTCTATTAAAAGTGTAAAATTGTGCCTATAAATAGAGGCCATGTATAATGTATTGAACATATTTGAATAGAATGAGAAATATTCTCTCTTATTGACCTTCTCTTCCTCTGTATAATTCTTCTTTATATTTCTTCTTTATTTATAACACCAAGAACTTTTTAAGTTTTTAGGGTGATAAGGAGAGAGAAGGGCATCGCATTTGGGCAATGACAATTTAAGTCCCAATTCAGAGAACTAAATATCGCTCATTTATCTTTGAGCTTCTATATCTATATATATCTATATATATATATATATATTGGTTTAGGTATGGTGAGCTTCTATATTTCGTGACGAAATTGTTCCTCATTTCCATTCAATCAAGTTTTAGATTCATGAGGGCATTGAATTGAAAATCCATGCTTACTATCGGGCCACCTGTCTACCCGGAGTCCACAATTCAAACGCATCCCTCTGCATACCCTTAGGTCCCATTTAATACGAAATATTAAAAATATAAAATAAGGATTAAAATTGAAAGTGCAAAACTATATTAAAAGAGTGTTTAATATGAGTAATTGTATGATATTTAGATTAGACAAACCTATATATATAGGATTGGAGAATACCATGAGAAGAGGTGGTATTCTCCAATCCTACTATATAAGATTGCCTAATCCTATGTGATAAGAAATTACTCATGTTAAACATCTTTTTAACATATATTTTTAACCCCAATCTCAACTCTTATTTTTTATTTTTAATACTTCGCATCGTACCAAACGCAATATCAGCATTTTGGTATGGATATGAAGTTACAAAGAAACTCTATTCACATATGCACTGTCTTTATGGTGGGCCTGGCAAGTATTGATTGATGGAATAGTATATGATTCGACTCAATTTATCAACAACAACGCCGAAACGTTATCCCACTTATCAGTTATATGAATCACGAGAAACTAGATAAGTTATTTGAATCATAATTCACAAGAAGCTCAATGCACACGCGCACTTTCTTTATAGTCACATATTTTAATATAATACTTGTTTCCATTGCATATTCTTTGGTCAATTTTTTTTCCCAATCTAAATATCGTCATTTACAACGGGAATTTCCTCGTTTTGCCCCCAAAAAAACTTCGTGAAAATGAGGAACCCTTTTTCCTCCTATGTGTGAAGAAATCATCAGAGAAAAAAAGGCGTTCGCTGGTTTATATGCATCCCTTTTAAGTTTTTCACTGGTGGCTTTCTATAATCGTTTAACCAAAAAAATAATAATAATTAAAAAGAGAACCATTTCGTTTCCATTCTCTTTATACTGATCTTTGTAGCCCCAAAGCCATTCTACGAACTATGATAATAATAAACATACACCAGAAGCCATATGTTTGGATTAAAAAAATTGAGGGGGAAAAAAGTCTCAAAGTTGTATCAGATGAGACCAAAAAGAAGTCCTAATTTATTGAAATGAATACACAAAATCAATTATCAAGTTCGATCACCTCAAAAATGAATAACTGGTATATAGAGATAGCATAAGAATCCTCTGTTCCAAAAAATTGCTTCATCTCATCAGACTTGGAAGAGGACGAATTAATTTCATGGAATCATATTCAGAGACCACCATGATGGACGAGGATGATGAAGAGTTCCGAACGTTCAAAAATCTCTTTTAATATATAAACTATTTGATTAATTCGAGAAGATTTTTTTTTATCAAAAATAATTGAAGTAGATTAAAGAATTGAGATAGTGATGTAGAACAAGAAAGGATTGGCAGGGATGAGAAGTTAGAGAAGAAGAAGAAGAAGAAGAAGGGAGGAGAAGCAGAGAAGCAGGGAGAACGGGAGAAAAACCGATCGATAAATTCTAAATGCCAAAAGTCTGATTACAAACTGAAACCCTAAACTATAAATAAAAGAAAGAAATAAAATAAATAAAAGAAATAAAATGAGGGGAGTGGGGAAGTGGGGTGAGTGGAGTAACTACCCACGATCTAAAATAAACAATAATAAAAATAATTAATTAGTTAAATTAAATCTGCATCATTTCTCCCCGGGTTGGAAGAACTCGCCACTGGAGAGTTGGACAGCTGGAAGTCATCAAGGAAGGCGGGGTCTATACGACGGAATTCGTCCTCGGTGAGCCACGTGGCGTCTGCATCATTGCAGCCTTTCCAACGAACGAGGTAACGACTGATGGGACCTGCTGGAGTGGATATCGTCTGCTCATCCATCATGGCGTCAATGGCTTGGGCGGGTGGTGCAACCTTAGGCAATGGTGGAGTTGGGGCTTGTTGGGTCGGGGTACCTGCAGCATCATCAGAAAACAAAGGGGGCGGCTCGAAAGTACCTCGATAAGGAACAAGATCCTCAATATTAAATACTGGACTGATAGCCATATCTGGAGGTAACTCTAATAAATATGCATTAGGCCCTAACTTCTTGGAAATGCAAAATGGGCCAGAGGCACGGGCATGCAGCTTCTTGTAAGGCCTATTTGGGAAACGCTCAGGCCGTATGCGAGCCATGACAAGGTTGCCAACATCGAACTCCTAGTGATGTCGATGGACATCGACAGCTATCTTATACCTGTCATTATTTAAAGTTAACTTACGCCTAACCTCAGTATGAATATTATGAAGGCGATGTGCAAAGGTCTCGGCGGACTCAGAAGGGCGAGCAGACAGGGGAAGGGGAACAAGGTCAATAGGCTGCTTTGGGTTGTAACCTTGAACAATTTGGAATGGGCTTTTGCCAGTGGATCTATTGACCGAGTTATTGTAAGCAAATTCAGCTATAGGCAAGACTAAATCCTAGTTACCTAATTTCAACAAGTGCTTTGAAGTTGCTTGCGACGCATCCGGGGTTGGGATTGGAGGCATTCTCAGCCAAGAAGGCCACCCTGTCGCCTACTTCAATAAGAAGCTCAATGAGGCCAAGCAAAAGTACTCCACGTATGACAAAGAGTTCTATGCCATTGTTTGCTCTTTGGAGCATTGGAAGTACTACCTCCTTCCTAAAATATATGACAAACTGTTGGGGATCTTGTTATGGCTATCAGTCTAGTATTTAATATTGAGGATCTTGTTCCTTATCGAGGCACTTTTGAGCCGCCCCCTTTGTTTTCTGATGATGCTGCAGGTACCCTGACCCAACAAGCCCCAACTCCACCATTGCTTAAGGTTGCGCCACCTGCCCAAGCCATTGACGCCGTGATAAATGAGCAGACGATATCCACTCCAGCAGGTCCCATCAGTCGTTACCTCGTTCGTTCGTTGGAAAGGCTGCAATGATGCAGACGCCACGTGGCTCACCGAGGACGAATTCCGTCGTATAGACCCCGCCTTCCTTGATGACTTCCAGCTGTCCAACTCTCCAGTGGCGAGTTCTTCCAACCCGGGGAGAAATGATGCAGATTTAATTTAACTAATTAATTATTTTTATTATTGTTTATTTTAGATCGTGGGTAGTTACTCCACTCCCCACTTCCCCACTCCCCTCATTTTATTTCTTTTATTTATTTTATTTCTTTCTTTTATTTATAGTTTAGGGTTTCAGTTTGTAATCAGACTTTTGGCATTTAAAATTTATCGATCGGTTTTTCTCCCATTCTCCCTGCTTCTCTGCTTCTCCTCCCTTCTTCTTCTTCTTCTTCTCTAACTTCTCATCCCTTCCAATCCTTTCTTGTTCTACATCAATTTTGGTACCAGAGCCTGGTTTCCCTTGTGCCTTTTGATTTTTGAAACGCCCAAACACGCCCTTAGTCAAAACAACACACGGCCGCCACTCCTTCACCATTGTTCGCTCATTTTCCGACGACCGTTCACCGCGCCGCCACTTCCATTCTCACCGTAGGCAACAATCCGTCCAGATCTCAAAGTTTCAGTTTGAGAATCTATCAACCACAACTCACCCCAGATTTCGGATTCACACCAGAGGTTCATCATTTCTCCCCGACTTTTGCAGGGTCGGCAGATAAGCCTTGTTCTGAGACGATGAATCCGAGAAACATAACTTGGCTCTGTAAGAAGGAGCACTTTGGTAGGTTGAGATAAAATTTCTCCTTCCGAAGGGTCAGAAGCACCTGTCTAAGGTGGTGCAAGTGGTCATCTCTGGACTTACTAAAAACCAGGATGTCATCAAAATAGACAACCACGAACTTTCCCAGATAGGGCTGCAGCATATGCGTCATCATTCGCATAAATGTGCTCGGGGCATTTGTTAAGCCAAATGGCATAACAAGCCACTCGTACAGTCCATCTTGTGTCTTGAATGCGGTCTTCCACTCATCTCCTGGTCTGATTTGAATCTGATGGTAACCACTACGAAGATCAAGCTTGGAGAACCACTTAGACCCAGACACGAAATCAAGCATGTCCTCTAACCTAGGGATCGGGAACCTGTACTTGACAGTTATCTTGTTTATGGCTCGACTATCAACACACATTCTCCACGAGCCGTCTTTCTTCGGAATCAGAAGGGCAGAGACAGCACAAGGACTAAGGCTATGCTGGATATAGCCCTTCTCAAGTAAGCTGTTAACCTGACGATTGAGCTCTTCCCGATCTTTAGAGTTCATCCTATAGTGTGGAAGGTTGGGGAGCTGTGATCCTGGAACCAAAATTGCATGCTGGATGTTCCTCATGGGTGGCAAGTCAGGAGGTAACTCCTCAGGTGCAACATCTTTAAACTCGTCCAAGAGTTGGGTCACTTCTTTTGAGAAGTTGTCAGGTGTTGGTGCAGGAGGAGAAATGACTTTAGAAACAACAGCAAGGATGACATCAACCTCTCTACTTTCTTCGATGAATTGCTTTTCCGTAAGGAGGTGAAGGTTGATAGGTTTAGAAGTGGATCCTTTCGTGGGGATTAGACCTTTTGCTTTAGGCTCAGGCTTCGCAGGACGGAGTAAGATGGTCTTGCCCTCATGCTTGAAGATGTGGTTGTTTGCTCGGCCTTGGATAGTGACATCATGGTCATATAGCCACGGGCATCCTAAAAGAATATAAGACACATCCATAGGAATCACAACACATAAAACATCCTCCTTGTAGTCACCCAACTGGAGTGGGACTCGACACTGCTGAGTGATAAGTAATGAAGTGTTGTCGATCCATGCAACTCGGAAAGGCTTAGCAATTTGCTCTGTCTTAAGTCCAAGACGAGCAACACTCGACTAGAGATCACATTCCTTTCACTTCCACTATCAATAACCAGCTTGCATGACTTATTCACCGCACTTCACGAAGGTGTGGAAGATGTTGTTCCGTTTCCATGAATTATCTGGCGTTGGGACAGTTAGGAGGCATCGCATCACTCTAAGATGACCTGATGGCATGTCATCACAATTAATTTCTTCGTCCACATCAGAAGGAATATCGACAGGGTTGATGACAACATCTGGATCGCTCTCGAGTAGTGCATCGTCTTGAGATTCGATAAGCAACGCACGTTGTGGGCACTTTGAAGTAATGTGTCCCTTAAAGTGACACTTGAAACACTCTATTGATGAGCTACCTGTGCGAGCGTTCGAGGCTGATGACTCTCTTGGCCTAGAAGCGCTTGGTCCTGAAAGTTGTTGACTTACCCGCTGATTGCCCAAAACAGTGGAGCTGCGTGTTGGACGAGACTCTAATCCAGAGAAGCTGGGACGCCTGAAAGAGGGATACTTAGGCAGGGAGTCAATGTCGATAGCCTTATGATATGCTTCCTCTAAAGTGTAAGGACGGTTTACTCTGAGCTCCCTCTGTATGTTATCCCTAAGGCCGCTGATGAACCTCTCAATAACCACAAAACTCGGCTCATTTAAGTCATTGCGGATCAGAAGGTCATCGTATCGAGAGACGTAGTCGGCTGCCGATGAGGTTCCCTGCTTGAGGTTGTTCAATTGGTTGAAAAGCATGCTTAAGTGACTGACCGGCACGTACTTTTCCTTAAGCTTCAACTTCATCTCCTCCCAAGTAGTGACAGGAGGTTGCCCTAGGCGTTCAAGGTTCGTTTGGACGTACTGCCAATACTTCCTTGCGGATCCTACGAGCTTCATCTTGGTAAAACGAACGCGTTGTATGTCACTCATATTGTACCACTCGAAGTAGTCGTCCATGGTGGCTAACCAATCGAGGAAGGCATTCGCATCTAAACGACCATCAAAGTCAGGTGCCTCAACTTTAACCCTCTTCGTCGCATCATCATTGTAGTCTTGCCGAGGGGTGTCTCAGTATCGTTTGGGCGGCGACGGGTCTCGTCCATACCTAGGGCGGGCGGCGTATCCTCCATAGGCTCATCGGTTCACAACATGGGATTCGTAGCGAGCCTCTGTCCCTTGCTCATCCCATGGGTTGTCCTCTTCCTCGAACTGTGGGGGAAGGGTCTCAACGTGTAGCGGTTTAGCCTGTTGGTTACGTAGCCCTATAGACAGTCGGGAGCCTCTAGTGTGAGATGGTCCAATGATGTCGAACTTAAGGTGCGCTTGATTGGTCTCAGGTACATTTCCAAGAATCTCTTCTACACCTTTACTAAAGACATGCCTATCAATTCTTAGGAGAAAATCTCTAATTTCTTGCTGGGAGGTCCTAAGCTCTTGATTAGATACCTTAAGTTCCTGAGTAGTGGCTCTAAGCTCCTGACACTGGGAGTTATATTCTTGCTTAATCTCGGCCAAAGATTCCTTAAGGCATTTGGTAAGTTCATTCAGTTTTAGTTTAAAGGTCTGAAGTCTTTGGTCCATTTGGGATTGAAGGGAGCTAACACGAGGTTCTAAAAATTGAAGTGTTTGGTCTAAGGTGTCTTGTCTATTTTCAATATCACGAATAGTCATGCAGTAGATAGACGAAAGCTAACAACAAATAATAAAGCAAGTAAAGAGCTACTAATAAAATGAAAATAACTTCTTCCTCCTTTTTTTTTTGCTTTTTTTTCTCTTTTTTTTTAAACAAATGAAAATGCTAATAAAATATAATATCTACGGTAGACAATAATCAATAAAATGGCAAAAGCAAACTAGTAACCTCCTGTATGTCAAACTAGTCACAGTAAGTTAAAGAGAGGGTCAATTGCGCCTTACCAACGCACTTAAAGAGACCAGAAAAAATTACCCAAAGTGTCTAAATGATTCTGTGGCCGAAGTGAAAATTTTGACAAAATCAGGGTCCAAAAGTGTAATTTCCTCCAACAAATAGGGTCAGACAGTAAAATTTCGAAATCTGGGGTGAATCCGAAATTTTCTGGAAATTATGGGCCGAATGTGTAATTTTTGCTAAAACTGAATCTGGAGCTGCAGAGTCACGGTGGCACGTGGATCTCACGCGCATAGATTCTTTCAGAGCGTTTAGGCGCGTGGAATCTCCGTTGACCGTGAAACTCCGGTGGCTGGCCGTGTTCCTCTAGAAGAAGGCTATGGTGGTGGTTTCGTGGCAAACAGAGGTTGGACGAGTGAGATTTGAGCCTTCAAAGTGACGCTGACGGTGACGCTGGCTCGTGGAGGCTATTTCCAGTGGTTTTTGGTTGTGAAACTTTGAGATCTGGACGGATTGTTGCCTACGGTGATAATGGAAGTGGCGGCGCGGTGAACGGTCGTCGGAAAATGAGCGAACAATGGTGAAGGAGCGGCGGCCATGGGTTGTTTTGACTAAGGACATGTTTGGGCGTTTCAAAAATCAAAAGGCACAAGGGAAACCAGGCTCTGGTACCAAAATTGATGTAGAACAAGAAAGGATTGGAAGAGATGAGAAGTTAGAGAAGAAGAAAGAAGGGAGGAGAAGCAGAGAAGCAGGGAGAACTGGAGAAAAACCGATCGATAAATTCTAAATGCCAAAAGTCTGATTACAAACTGAAACCCTAAACTATAAATAAAAGAAAGAAATAAAATAAATAAAAGAAATAAAATGAGGGGAGTGGGGAAGTGGGGAAGTGGGGAAGTGGGGTGAGTGGAGTAACTACCACGATCTAAAATAAACAATAATAAAAATAATTAATTAGTTAAATTAAATCTGCATCAGATAGCTTATTTAATTACAACAAACATGAACTGGTCTCCCTAAAATACTCAGTGTAATATATGACATTGGATTTATGTATTAATTCATTAGTAAGGTAAATTAATTTTAAAAAATAAATATTAGAGATAAAAAAATTGAAATATTATATTTAAAATTAAAACTAACCCACAGAAAAGCTCCTGTAGGTTAAGCAATATGATTCAAAACTTCCTTCAAATTAACACAGAAGAACATTGGTGCATCAACTTAAAGCGGCATCCAAGAGAAAACAAAAAAATTGAACAGGATGAAACACTAGCAATTGCAAAAACTGAAGCATATTACAGAGTGCTGCTAGAGAGGAAGCTCTGTTTTCACTCAACCAAATAGCAAATGGGTCTGCATGGAACCAACAATCATATGGCGTTTTAAATATTAAGGCCAGTAACAGAGGAAGAAGCATCAAGAACAGAGACGGAAGGAGTTGACGAAAATAAAGAAAAGCATCATGAGAACCCACAACTTTCTCCACCAGAAGAAGTGTGACGTGCCATTAAATCAAGACTTGTTGGCGTGGTGGTATTTATTTGCGAGGCGGGGATTCCAAATTATATACGGACTCGACACCTTTATTATCCCAAAACTATTATAACTGAGGAGGTCTCTGGATGGAGCCACGTGGGTGACGAAAGGATCCAAATCCAAAATCCATTGGAATTGGATCCTCTCATCTTCTTTTACGGGATAAAGTCGGTGGTCCAGGAAAATGACACCCCACAAGCCAGCCCAAAAAAACAAAATATCAGCTCTTTTATTGGGCATTTAGAGAAATAAAAACATTGCGGGGAGACGGCTTGAACAAGGAAAGAGGACAATGGGAGTTGAGAAAATTTCAAATTTTGGATATTCGAAGTTCGACTCATCTGTGTTCTGGTATGTGGGGGGAAAAAAAACAGAACATCCATTTTCTGTTTTTCTTTAGTAATAGGAGGGATAATAGTAATGAAGAGCGGTGAAAGAAATGGAAAGTTGAAAAAAGAGGGGTGGGGGGAGTTTGGGCTATAAACGGCTCAGTAAGGTCGATGCACTGGACTAAGAAAACAAAAATAAATGTTACATGGAAGCTGAATTCATTAGGGAGAATTAGCCTTAAGAAAAAAAATAATTACTAAAAAATCTTAATAACAACTTAAATAATTAGTAATGATAAGTTTTAAAGTAGAAAATGACAACTTTTAAATTTTATATTATAATTATTTTCCTTCCTTGAGACTCGATGTAATTCTCTCAAATCATTATTCCCTCCAACGATTTCATTTTCTGTTAAAAAAATAAATGTCATATCAAGTGAAAAATAAGTTCTATTCTGATTCAATGTTGTACATGGTGATTTATTCTTTTTGAATATCTTTGCCGCAGTATTTTAATAAATGCATCCCATCATCATATAGTATTTTTGATAATATTTTCTTTTTACTATTCATAGGATCTTTGTGGAAAAGCCAAAATGTTTTTTAATCTCCCAACCCAAGTAAATACTTGAAGCAAATTTAGTTATGAAGTGTTTATATTTAACCTCTAACACCTTGAAATTCTGCAGCAGCTAATCTATTTTGGAAGTGTGAGCATAGGAATTGTTTAAATTTTTATTTTTATTTGCTTTACATACAGGTATTTTCTTATTAAAAACAATCTTATTTAAGATACTGTTATGTATTAAATATAAGTATCTCTTTTAATAGAGAGTTAAATCTTGATTCCCTTATTGTGAGGATTACTTTCTTTTTATAGATTTAATTCCTATTAGTCCGAATGGTCTAATGAATCTATAGTGATTGGCGAATTGTTTTAACAGGGAAAGAGGGCCGTGGGCCATGAATGCTAAAGTCCAAGAATAAAATATGACCTTTCAAAGATTTGTTTTGTATCATGGGAAAGAAATGGATAACTGACTTTTGGGATCTCAAAAGTCAAAACTAAAAAACTCCTTCAATGACTACTGGCTCTCAAGTAGTTTTAGCCTTTTAGGGTGTCTAGTTCAAATCATGATTTTAAAAATTATTTTACAGTATACGAAATAAATTTATACAAAAGAATTTGTCTCGATTTATAAAAAATTATTTTTTAAAAACATTTTCTTAGTTACCCAAACATTCTCTTGGAATTGAAGCCACCTGTCTTCATTGCTTTTGCCGCCATCATGTAATGCCCCCTTAACCGGTGTTTGGTAATACTCGCTCCGATACTACTCCCTCCGTTCCTTATTATAAGAGACAAATAATCGAAGTACGTTGATCAAAAAAACAGTTAAAATTAGTTAAGAACAATTAATGTGTAAAAAGTATAACTTTTTTCCAAAAATGTTCTCATTAATAAGGAGAGAGAGCATGAGAGAGAATAATTAAATTATTAAAAGAAAGAGAAGTGGGAGGGAGAGAGAGAGTGAGTTGGAGATAATAAATATGGGTAAAATAGTAAATCAATACAAAAAAGTAGAGACAACTTGTAAGTGTCTCTTATATATAGGAACATGCCATAAGCATCAAATGTCTCTTATAATAAGGAACGGAGGGAGTATATCTTTAGCTTTGCATTTAGAGATAAGGATGATTCAAAATAAGTTTTATCTAAGTGTTTATTATTATTTTTTAATTTTATCTTTAATGATTGTATTTGGTATTATCTTTGCTCTCTCATAATATTACCCCCCATATATTCTCTTTCACTAGTTTTTATTTCTTGCCTCTCATTTACTTTCTTAGTAGTAAGGGCAAATTTCGGGAAAAAAATCTCTTTCTGATTATTTATTATTTTTTACTAATTTTAATGACTAGTTCATTAAACGTGATTCAATTATTTGAAACTTATGTATAGAACCAAGGGAGTATAACAAAAAAACACTCTTTAAAAGTCATACAAATAGGACAAAATTCTTTTCACATATTTATTTTGTATACAGTAAAATTACTTTTAAAAACCTAATTTGATTTTCTTTCAAACACCCTCTAAATCCAGTAAAATTATGCCTAGTTTGGCCCTAAAAAAAGTTGGATAGGATGGAGCATCGAGTAAGATATGCTACCTTACATTTTTGGTCTTACTCAAATCTTATATATGTAATTTGCCC